TAAGCCAGCAAGAAGTTTTCTTTCATTCCATTCTAATGGCAAGGGCAATTTATTACTGGGTTAAGTGAAATTGTAATTTTTACACAATATTTTCCTAAATAACATTCTCTCTCCATCCATCCATCCATCCATCCATCCATCCATCCATCCATCCATCCATCCATCCATCCATCCATCCATCCATCCATCCATCGACTCATTGACTCGAAGGCATCCCTCTCACCAAGCATGCTTGTAGCAACAATGGAGAGGAAAAACTCCCTTTTAACAGCAAGAAACCTCCAGCAGAACCAGTCTCGGTGTGTGTGGCCATCTGCCGAGGCCAACTGGGGTTCAAAGAGACAGAAGCAGTCATAGAAAAAGAGTGTGAATCCAGGAGAGGGGTCTCTTGTCCGGCTCAGTAGCCCCGAGGGGGCTCGAGGGGAACGCTAGAGCAGAATGTGAGCAGCAGGGATTCAGAGACCAGTCCTCAGAGTACGGAGACAGGCGGGTGAGCAATCCAGAGCTCAACGAACTGATGGAGACAGCTTAGAATCAGGAATCCAAAACATCAGGCTATAGAGATCTGTCAACGGTTTAACACTCTGGTGTCCTTCAGCTGACGGAACGCTCCTCTTAAGTTCAGCAGAGCTGCCTCAATGAGCCACAGGTGCGGTACCATGCCCACCTGTCAACAACAACCACCTGTGGAAGAGAGTAAGTAGAGCGCAGAACATGGAACCCTGACACTAACCATCTATCCACCCATCCATTTTCTGTCACTCTTATCCCAAACTGGGTCGCGATGGGTGCTGGTGTCTATCTCCAGCTGTCTACGGGCAAGAGGCGGGGTACACCTTAGACAGGTAGCGAATCCATAGCAGGACCCTGAAACTAAACATATTTTATTTATTATTATCCCTTAAGGTGTATACGCTATTTTAAATCTGTAACTACAGTGTATAATATTTATTCCAAAACATCAGAGAATCTTTGTTTCACTGTAGAGCCATGTTATAGACACAGTTCTCCCCTCAAACACATGCATTGTTGCCACTTTTTGACCTAATATATAAGGCTTAATGATTGATCATGTTTGACAGTGTTCTTGTGGCCTCTCTATGTGAACAATGAAGTTATAAAAACATTTACCTTTAGAGTAAATCAAAGCAATTTTCATTAAACTCCACTTAATAGGATACAAATGTATGACCAATGGGTTAATGAATTACCAATTATTAAACCAGCTTGGAAACAACCAGACATTTGATAATTTGTCAAATGTAAGATGTTCACTTTATCTTAAGTAAGTAGCATTCAATCTAGTCCTTAGTAAATAATCCTTGTTTGCGCTAGTAAAGAAGATAATCTAACAAAAACTAAAAATATTATTTTTTTTTTCTCCCTTTAAAGTTACATTATTTGCCAGTATTGTTGACATTACCATCTTTGTGACCCAGAGGAACAACACTGGTAGTAAATATGAGGTATGACTGATATTTTTTTGGTGCTTGTGAATGGCTTAATTACTCATTTCATTACCTGTCTAACTCTGCCCACATACTGCTCAACTGATCGACCTGCTCCTGCCTCTTTTTAAGCTCCCTGCTACTATTCATCACCTCAGATTATTTCTCTTGAGACAGTGTCGAGAGTGGTTCAACGTTACCATAATGTTTCTGATTTCCTGGTCTGCTTCTCAGCCACTGAGCCTGCCTATTCCCATCTGATCTGTTTACCTGACCTGGCTTCGGATTCCTGGACCTCTGAGCCTGCCTGTTCTAATCTGTTTGCCTGACCTGGCTTTGGACTCCTGCTTGTTCTCCATTCTCCGGGGCTGCAGCATCTGGGACACTATGGGTGGCTCCCGCTGCATCTTTTTGGCAGTCCATCAGTTGGATCATACCTCGTTCTTTGGCTATGGACTGAACTGTAAACCAGGTTAGTGAATAATGTTCATAATCTTCCTCCGTTAGATTTACGTGGTCACTAGCCCGTGTTTCTTCTCTCCAGAGGTTTCTGCCTCAGACACCTTGGCCGCTGCTGCTGCAGATCCATTCCGCCAGTTTTTAAATAAACACCTTTTTGAATAATCCCACTGTTTGTATTGCCTTGAATACTGGGTCCTCTGTTCTGAGTCATGACAACTTTTGGAAACTGTGAACAGTTAACAGTTTCAACTCCATATTTACTTGTATGTTGAATTGCTTCAGAGAACTAGAACACATTATATATATTGTGGCATCAAAGTATTGACTTTTCATTTGTTTCTCACTTATTCTAATATTTATTTTTTCCTAAAGGTCAAAAAAGGCCTCTGAAAACGCATTACCAATTATCTACCAGCCTGCCTGCCTATCTACATTTGCATGAGAGTAATTGGGTAAATTTGGCTCTATTGTTAAGTCCTTTAAGGGACTAGAAAGTCACTGTATAAATAAAGTCCATTTACCATTTGTTGTTTCTTCAAAATTTATGAATTGCATCTAGAAATAATAAAGATGCTGAAACATGCTTGTCAGTCACTCAACGAGCATCTGTTGAATGTAGCTGCCTGTGGTATTAAGATTTAAAAGTCCTTTTCCACTGATTTACTTTTTGCTTTTCTGATGATTAACTGTAACATACACTGTCTGTCTTTTGTCTCTCTTCCCTCAAGGTTCAGCCAACAAGTGGTGTTGTCATTCTAAACAGTGAAGCAACATTCCTTCTAGAGGAGGGCATGTTTCCTCTCCAGATGATTATCTTTCCGATGTCCCACTCAGAAATCTGCTCCTGTCAGCATGATCGATGACCGTGATATTGACTTGAGGTTAATTCAAACCCAAAGTGCTGACTTAGATGACGAATCCCGATAAGAGCACTGAAGATAAGATCACAACTGAAAAGGAAAAAAAAAAATTGTCATGCAGCGTGGTGCTCCTTTTCCACTACCTCATCCGTTGGTTTCTATTGTGTGAATACCAAAAAGGAAAACCAATAAAGGTCCCTTGATTGAACTCTGTCTTGTCTTAAGTTGTTTGATTTATTGTCACTAAGAAATAAATGCGTTACTTAACAATGATTATTTTCCTTTTTTTTTTTTTGTTTTTTTTTTTGCCAGAAATGAACATTGGTTTAGAAAGGTTTTGGCTAATTAACCTTGTCTCAGCCTGATTTGTGTAATCCACTGAGCTTGTCACACTGCGCTTGGCTGAATTGAAGGAATACCTGGTGAGTAAAATTGCAGATCAATTCTCTGTTTGTTACATGCATCATTACACAGGAGCTGATGCACACATCAATCACAGTGGACACAGTTTTCAATTAAGAATAACAAAATCAATTATCAGGGAAGCTATTCATTTAATGCGGGAGCAAACATTTTCAAATATAAAGACGGTTTAAAAAAAGAAGTACAGTCCTCTGTATAGTACCAGAATACAGATTTAAAATGAACCTAAAGCTATTTAAAGTTATTAGTGCGTTAAAAGCACTAGGGACGTGTTTCTGCAGCTAAACACAGTCCCTGTGGGAGACATTTTTGATTGGGAACCACAGTAGAAAGATGTTTCAGTATATTGCAACAACATACTGGGCTTTTTCCCTTGGATTTCTGCAGGTAGCCTGTCTTTGGTGATTTGTTTCCAAAAAAAAAAAATCGAGCTGAGTGTACAGTGAATTTCAAACTGTGTCCAGACAGCGGTGATAGCAGGTAATAGAGATTTTATCTTATATTGCAGCAGCACAAGTTAACACAAAAAATAAAAATACAACCTTTAATATCATGCATTTGTATGGGTGAAAATAAAAATCAATTGTAGGATTATTTTGTTTTTGACAAAATCACTATTGGCACAATTATTGCACACCTGCTGTCAATACTCCATTCCCTTTGGTCAATAGGACAGCACAAGGTTGAACCAAACAAAGTGCATGATATTTGACCGTTCCTCTGAATAGGTTATTCGAGAAAGAGGATTTTAGTGTCTGACTTTGATAATTTTATTATTGGTTTAGTTAAAAAAAATTTCAGTTTTCTGATTGTGTCCTACAGATTTTAATTAGTCTTCAAATGTCCGTGATGCCATGCACTCTTAAAAGTTATCCAGTCAGTGTACAGCTACATAGATCACCCACCAAACTTAATATTAGACATTGGTTGAAATGGAGTCACCCTTATTAAGACCAGGATCTATATTGGGGAAATATATTGGTAAGCAAAATGAAATTCAGATAACTCTATGAGGCAGGAGGCTAGCAATGCTGAGCACAACCAGATATACAGTAACAGAAACTCTTATCTTACATCTTTGCCTCCACAATACCAGTGATACCAGCTGAATGCACACACGGCCGCTGATTTCAGCAGACTGACTTTTGAAAAGGCAAGTTATCAATATTGGCTTATGGTTGTGTGGTTATTGCGAAGCAACTATCTAAACTGTATTATAGCATCACCTGACCGAAGTGGTTCTTAAGCCAGCTTAATCCACACATTTTTTCTATTAGCATTTGGATTTACAATTATCCTGCAAAAAATGCTTTGGTTACATTTAGTTAAAAGCAATTTTCACCAATAATATAATAATAATGTCTCTGGTGATTTTGTCAAAACATTTCTTAACATCAATCTTCAACAAGGGAAAACCTTTAACTATATTTAACAGATACATGCAAATAAGCTTAGATTATATAGCAAAATAAATTTGACAGTGTTTATATTTATAGTTTACTTGTTACATTGCATGCTGTAACAAGTAAATCATAAATCATCTAATATCAAATGTGATTTAGACAGAATTAAATACAATGTTTACTTTGATCTATTACTGGAAAATTTAAACAATGTAGTTAAAAAAAATTAAATGTATTATAGTATTTGATGAATCTTTGGGCATAATAAATCTTTCTGCCTTGTGCTGTCTGCCTTAGGACCCTGAGGATACTGGACCTCACTTGCTGCAGAGGAAGGTTGGTGATTTGTATGCTGCCCATCTGATAGCGCCTCCTGGATCACAGATGGATTATTCAGGCTCATCCTCTGGCATATAGGCTCTTTCTTTCTTCTGACCTCCCCTCCAACCACCCTCACCCCTTCACCTCCCCCACTGTTCCTTCTACTCCAGGTCTACAACCTACACATTTGTTCCTTTTCTCTTTTATTGTAGACTACTTGGATGCTTCAGCAACAGAGAGAAAAAGGCAAATTTTCAGCTTTTTTCCCAAGAAAATGGAACAGTAACAGAAGATATACAATCAGGAAGGGTAAGTTACGAAGTTGTGATCATTCCTGTGATTAACTTAAAATGTGGGTTTTAGTTTGACTGAGAATCTATAGTTGTAGTAAAATAAAAGGTGAAAGAGAGGATTTAAAGCCTCTTACTGCAATTTGAGTGTGATAGAGGAGGATGGAGACATTGTGCACGTGCTTTAGAGCTGAGTGTTGGTTGATGCACAGCACAAATTGGTGAGTGTGGAAGTTGTTGTCTTTCTTTTAATACATTTGGTTTGATTACATTTACCTCCCTTATTAATTAAATAGATAAGCAATACTGAAAAAATATACCTTACCTTCAAACCTTTGTTGTGACAAAGAATTATAATGAAATGTTGAACAGATATCAGACTCATTAAGAACTGTCACATTAGCTATAAATCAAGCTTTAAAAAAAAATTTCTAGGACACTACTTTTAAAAAAATTTAGAAAAAAATGTGTCGCATTTATAGCTCCGTTGATGCGCTATAGATTCACTGATTAAAGCTTGTGTTTCTCTCCTCATCTGTCCCCTCAAAAGACACAGCTATATGTCAGCGATAACTGCCATGCTTTGATAAGAACTCCTCAGATCTCTCAGCTTCTCTAGATGTAATGTAAAAGTATGTGATGTATGACTTTGGCTTTGTGACAGTAATATATGCAGGTGTGTTGTCTGTTTTGGGGACATCAAATATCCATGGCTGTCTGTCTTCATAGTATGGGTTCGCTCTTTCACATACTTCCCACTGCGCTCTTGATTTAGATTCCAGAATTTGTCAGTGAATCATGCTTCCTGGTTGTGCCCCCTGCTTTCACATTGCACCCCGGTGCTGTTTGTTCTGCAGACTCACTCATGAATAATGGCAGATGTGCACAGGGATGTAGAAACTCAGGTAGAATTGGCTTTGACATCATCATGAATAGAAATAACCCCTACCATAGAAAATTCGCACACTAACATAGGAGAAAAAGGAAAGATGTTCTTTTTTCTCATTCAAAATTAGGATTTGGATTAGTCCTTGATAAAGTGTCTCATGGTGGAAGGAAATTATGTTTTCAGTTAAGTATTTCAAAGATATAAACATGGTAGTAGTAATCCAGTGATGTTTAAAGTCAAAAGGTGCAAGTTCTCAGTCAAGTTCCAAGTCCAAAACTTCCTATGTCAACTGGAAGTTTGAATGTGAAGTCATATATTAGGTAAATTCTTCAAAACTAATTTCATGAATAAACAGTAATAGTAACTTCAAAAAATTTTTACATCTTTAGAACACTATTTGATTGAATTTCACTCCCTCACACTATTTTTACTTTAAATTTATACTATATGAAGAAAAAATCTTTTGAGTAAAATTAATAAAAAGTGTTGATTTGGAAAACAATTGATTTATTTAACCTGTATTTAACATGGAAAATCTTTTTTAATAAAAAAAACTTTTTTCAGTGGAGTCCTAGGTTATAAATAAATCCTTTTAAAAGTTGCCTCAATATAATTTATTTACTTTTAAACAACTGAAAAAATTGTAAACATTACTAGGGTTTGCACTCGAGGACATAACAAGTTAAAGCATTTCTTTTTTTTGATTGGCTAACAAGACAACTTTTACTATTAATAGATTTCTTTTAACTACATAGGAACAATGGTAGATAATTGGTTGATTGAGACTAGATGTTAAACAGCATAAAAATAACATATATCCTTATTTTATATCCCCCCCTTCCTTATTGTGCAATGTCATACCTTCTATCATTAGCTCTTGGTAATGTAAATACACAATACACAGGTATATACACACTTAAAGGAGCTTAATGAGAGTTCATAAGTTTTTGCAGATGTTTGCCCCCTCTGGTGACAAGTTGAAAGACACCAGTGTGGTGCACATGCATGAAAGAAGAGAAGAGGCACTTGCTCCTGCATTCACACAGGCAATTTTTTTTTATAAGCACAATGTTGAAGGTAAGAACGTCCCTTTGTTCTCTTGCCAATGTGTCAATGGAGGAGGAGATTCAGCAAAGTGGCCCGATAAATGAGAGGGTGCACAGTGCAACATCACGTGCACACCCAAACAATGCAACCTGCATTAGTCTTCCATGAACTGACAAATCAGGCCCATGTAAGCAATCACATCAAACTTATTTTACACATCAAGCATTTGTTAAGGAAAAAAATAAATCGAAACAATATTTGATTTTTAAAATTTGACCAATTTATGTTTACAAACAAATAGAGCATATACACAGTATAAAATATTAATTTAATATAATATTCAACAATGTTCACCTTAACTGGAAACCCTTTGTATGCCATTGAGCTAAAAATCCAGAAATTGATATTTTCAGAGCACATTAGTAGACCCCTTTAAACAACACAAAAAATGTGCAAGCTATGGGCTAAATAAGAATAAAATGATTAATTGAATCTACTAATTACTAATTGGCTTAGGTAGAGAGAGAAATACACAGAGAAGACAATAGAATATTTCTAAATGTTCAGAATAAACAAAGGACTGGGTAAACTAACCTATTACCCAGAGGTCACTACAAAATACTTCTCCCTCATCAGGATGGGAAAAGTGTGCTTTAAAATGGGGGCTCCAAACAGAATCATTGCAGCCTCAATAGGGGCAGCCTCATTGCAGCCTCAATAGGGGCAGAAAAAAGGCTACCTCAAAGCCCACCCAATCAAAAAAAGGTTTTGGTGGGCAAGTTCTAGGCTTTATCCTAAGTTCTGGGGCTGAAGGTACTATAAGGTCCAGTTTGGAGGCTGGCAGCAGCGAAGATGAAGTTCAGATTTTCAACAAAGATGCATACAGTAAACCTTGGATGTCCACCAGTTTTCCTAGGTCAGGGACCCATGAGAGCTGGCATGATAATAATAGATGTACGTCATAGGGCAGCTAGTCATGAGAACAAGAGGTTGATGATGGTGGGGAAGACTGAGCTCTGGAGGCAGGCAGTGGTGAAAGAGGACATGAAACGATGTCAATGGCTGACAGTGGTGATGGGTAAGCCTGTTGGTCAGCAGCATGAGGTGTTGGACTTGACAAGAAGGCATGGGGGACCCTTGGTGAAATTCAGACAATTCCGACCACGGGCAAAGTTCAGGTGGCTTGAACTCTGGCCAAAGTCAGGTGCATTTAGAACCTACGAGTAATCTTTTCGGGTGCTCAACTCAAGTTGAGGACCCACAGTGGAGTGTAGGCTTTAACCCATTGGGAAGCTTATCTAAGATCTGGCCATGTAGTATGGGAATTCCACAGAAATCTCTACTTGTAGGGTGACTATAAGATGTAAAAAGTTTTTCATGGTGCTCTAAGGACACGGTTTCATGAAGGAGCTCCACCATGAACCTATAAATTACCTCAACAAGCAAAATGCGAAGGAGCTCAACAAGGAACCTACCAAGGAGCTTACTTGAACTGAATGTAAATAAACCCCAAGAAAACCCTTAAGAAAGGCAGCAAAACCCTTAGAGGAGACTTAAAGTAATGGTAATGAACTCTGGAGAAACTTCAATGAGGCTCTGCAAATGGAATTGCAGCCTGGAAAACCCTAAACAGCACTCTAGAAAGCGGAAAGTTTCCATGTTGCTCTTCACTCCCAAAACCAGGCAAGGCTCTGAAAGTGTTGAGGGACATTGATCCAATTGATCCACCTGGAAAAACCCTCATTTAAGGACTTAAAACCTGGTCCACTGGAACACCCTCTTTCAACAACCCAAGAATGCGAACATGAGGTGGGTCCACCTGGACACCCACATTTGTTAATAAAATATTTAAAATTCTGAGTGTGAAGAAAAAGACACAACCCTCTGAGGTGCAGTTATGTTTATTAAAGCAGCCATTTTTTTTTTTGACTTTTATCAGCTGCAGTGCATTTTAGGTTTAGATTTACAAAGGAATCGCCAGCCATTCCACTTGGAAGTTCAAATTTAGGAGAGCTTCTTTCAACAATTATATTTAGGAACTATGTTCTTGGTAAAAACTGAATGGATGATTAAACCAAAATTTGTCAGAATGCAATGGTTGAAAAAATTATAAAAACAGCTTTTTTTTGTTTCTTTGAAAAGAACAAACAAAAAATCCCAGGTTATGTAGTGTTACCATTTTATAATGTATTTTAATGTGTAAAGAACAAAAAAAACTGAATTATGGGCTTAATGAAAAGTATGTTTAAAACCTGCTTGAAGGTTGTTATTAAAAGCTACATAAATCTGACAAATGAACCTGATCAGTACATATATTGTTATAAAAGTAAAAGTATATATATAAAGTATATATATATATATATATATATATATATATATATATATATACTTTTTTTTAATTTAAACATTTTTGACCTATTCATTTCTCCAATGATACACGTCTGTTTATTTACAGTTATTTACAATTACTTACCTGGATGTTGCGCCTCATTCATTTCTGATGAGGGTACGTGTGTAAAAACATTCTTACATTTTCCACAAAACAACCCTTGCTGATTAGTGAGCTTCATTATATTTTCGTATCTTCTATTGTATATATGTCATCTAGAATACAACAATTACCCCACTATACTATTGCACATTGGCCTTGCAGTATAAAGGTGTACGAAAGTAAATGGCTGTATCTACATGATACCTATATATTGCTTTTTTTGTGGATGGGTGACTGTATTTTATAAAAAGTGTGAGATCTTTACAAATGATTTACATATGTACAACTGCTACAAAACACATGAAGTTACCAAATGTTAATATTATTTAACTAACTGAATATCATGATCAACCCTCTATATGTGTTGATATTTTTTAAGTGGAATCCACAGGAGATTGCTGAATGAATGTTCAAACTAATTAAGCTAAAAGTTTTATCGCCACCTGAGTATTGAACTTTAAGGTGGTCAGATCCACCTAAAACTAATTTTTAAACCAACACGTGTGGCATGAGTGCAACAGCAGCTCTAGTGTCAGCGTTACATAGCTTAACAGGTTTACTGTGTTGTATTTCCCTTCCACTTTGAACATATTGCAAACATCTGTCTCCATAAGTATGTAGGATTAAATCAAGAAGGGTGGAAAAATGGTTCTCCGTTGAGCGGGGGGGAGGTTGGGGAAAGCTGATCCTGTTCACGGTCCAGTGCTCTCTACAGTATATGATCGGTCTGCTGTCTGCGGTATCTTATTGACAGTGTGTTAGAAGATAAGCAGTGATTATTCCCTTGCAGACAGAAGCGGTGGGAGCACACCAGCCTCCCCTTTTTCTTTTTAACCACAGGCTCTTCCTGTTTGTTCAGATCTTGGACAGATGGGTTTAAAGAATATTTCACTCCCACGTTTTTCACTATGGTCATATTTCATAATTTTCAATAGTTAATGCATGTGTGATTTTTGTCATAAATAAGGTGCAAATTATCTTTATTATGCAAATTAGATTCCCCATTCCCTTTTGCACTAATCCAGCTCTGCAAATTATATTAAAATACACAAGGCCTACAGTGTCTTTGCGCTGCAACTGCAGCATTTCTGGTCTTTTCATTCAAGAGTTAACAGTAGATTTCCTGGAGTGCAATAATTTCCATAAATATTTTTTTCTGCTGCCATTATTAGCATCTTATGAATAACCCAGAGAGCAGTTTATTTTCTTCCATTCATGCTATGTTTAAATATAATTTCATTTTGATTATTTTCTTCAATGTAATAGCTTGGAAAGTTCAGTTTAGGCAATGTGAAGTTTTGTAGAAGATGTTTTGCCTCACATCAAAGAGGCTTACTCAGTTCTAACTAGTGTTGGAGAGAATTGAGATTAATATACTGTAGGTCTAACAAATAATTATGGGGAACAAAAGGTGGCTCTGATCCCACCTAACAGATTGGCCATGGAGGTCATCTCAGGGTTGTTAATGGTCATTAGGGAGTACTGATGAGTGGTTAACTCCCTTGACAGATTGGAGTCAACAGGGCAGGTGAGAGGTGAATATTTTGGGTATTTTTCCTTAAAGAGCTTTGTAAATAGGGGACGGGTTATGTCTAAGACCTCCTCTTCAAAGCGGGCAACACCCCGAGACGAAAAAATGGTTCACCTCAAAGATAAGACACCCAGAAACAAGGTGCACAACGTGGTTTACGCCATTCAGTGTAGAGAAGGGTACACAGACAGGTACATTGGAGAGACAATGCAACCGCTATATAGGCACATGGCTCAACACATGGGGGCCAACTTCTCAGGACAGGACTCAGCTGCTCACCTACACCTGAAGGCTAAAGGACACTCATTTGAGGACAGCAACATCCATATTTCTGCCAAGGAAGAAAGATGGTTGAACGAGGTGTTAAGGAAGCCATCTTAACTAATTTGGAAAAACCATCTCTCAACAGAGGAGGTGGTCTTAGACATAACCTTTCACCTACTTACAAAGCACTTTTAGGGACAATAAAGAGAAAATTCACCTGCCACCACCCTCACCTGACTCACACTTCAATGAAACATGTGACCAAAACCACTCTGAGGAGGGAGTTAAACTCCTTAATGACCATTAACTCCCCTAGGTGACCTCCATGGCCAATACAATAGGAGGGATCAGAGCCACCTTCAGAATTTCAGTATATTAATGTCAGTGCTCCCCAATACTAGTTAGAACTGAAGAAACATCTTGGATGAGAGTCAAAATATCTTCAAGAAAACATAAACAGTTGCTTAAACTGAACTTTTCAAGCTTGATCATGACCTAGATGACTGAGAATCTCCACAGATATCCACTCTAATAGTTTTGTGACATTCTATTGTCTTTCTTCTCTCAGACTCATGCTGGGTGGATGTAAACAATGTCGTGGTATCAAAACCACCTACATTTAATATTCATTACTCTGCAAATGCAATCCTCCCACATTAATGTGTATAGTGTTTTTATGAAAGCACATCTCAGTGGAATGAAAGAGATTCAAGCTGCATATCATATTAGAACTGAATGATTTCCAGCTCATATCTTTTGAAAAATCAGCATATTTACTAGATTTGCAGAACAATATTCTCACTTCAGGGTAGATTAGAATATTTCATACAAAAATACCAAGTCCATGTGGACATATAGGATTCATCAACACAGGATCACATGGAAAAAGTGGAAAATATAGAATAGAGAAATGTATATCCTGGAATATTACTGGGTAAATAGGTTCTGAAATGAAAATACTTGTGTGGGGTTGCAAAAATCACAATGCTTATGTATGGGAGATTTGGACTGGGTCCTAAACAAGATGAGGTACTGGGGATCAGTTGTATTGGTAAAAAAAAGAATGTTATAAAGGCATAAAAACATATATAGCTTATGAGATTAAATGTGAATTTAGATTTGTGGAAATGGACAGGAAATGCCTTTTTTGTATTTCTAAAAAACACATTAACAACTCACAAGCTGTTTAAACACTGCATGGAAAATGAGGAATATTCCACTCAAGATTTAACTTTAACTTTTTTAGTTGGTGTATGCTTGGCTCAAAATAGGCTGGTCTTTAAGACAAAAAGCATAAAAAAATAACCTTGTGCTTGCAGTAAGAATATCAAAATCTTTGCCGTCTTAAATTTTATTCAGGTAATCTGCTCAGTGTTAATAATTGTAGATTTATAAATTTGGAAGAGTAATTGTAATTTAAACTCATTGGGAATGGTGAAACAGACTTTATCATTTTGTATGAAGCTGAGACAAACAACTGTGAGTGGGCAACGGCTGATCAAACACGACATTCACACAGGGCTTACGATTTGTTTATTTGTTAATCTAAGTATTGAAAATGTTGCCACACAGACAATTTAAATGATAAAGAAGAATCTTTTTTCAACCAATTCCTTTAACACTACAGATAACCTAAAACTACTTATTTCTTACTCTTCAATAAAAGTATTTAATACAGGCACAGACTTTTGAGATGAGCGTATTTTTCTCCACATCCAGGCCTTCATAACAATTGCCCACACTAGACTTAATCGTACACTTAAGTACTTAAGTTTTATTTTCTATATAAAAACAGAATTCAGCTGTAAAAACTTGTTGACAGTAAGTTGCAGTCTGCATACAATTGCTCTGTCATTTTATTATAAATTTTAGTATATAATTGCTGAGTATCTTAAAGGGAAAACTAGTGCAGCAAATGTATTTATTTTGCACAAATCTTGACTGGTACAGACAAACTGGGAATGCTTTCTTTAAAAAAAAGGGGGCAACTGTTCAGAGTTGATTAGAAATAGATGGAAATAATTATAGGGCAATCTTGGAAAAAGGAAAAAAAAAAAAACAGTTAGAGGCTATGAAAGACTTTGCACTTACTATATCTACTCCAACCAGAAACTAAGCCTTCTCTGTATTTCTCCACAAACATTTCAATGCTTTTTTTTTTTTTTTTACTATTGCAACATTTTATATGTTTTGCATGTTGTAGGAGCTGGTTTTTTTTGTATTTTTGACCGGGTAGCAAAGCTTTCAAATTGTTAAAATGTCGCTCAAATTGTTTCCTCTCTTTGTGCACATTTCACCTCCAGATATGAAAGTATGTTGTCTTATAGATATTGTATTACGATCACTTTTTTCATATTTGCTATTTTCACAGTCTTGTCATCATCCTCATAATGAATGAAGAGCCACTGCTTCTGATTGGTAAAGAGGGCAAAATGCTGACTGCTCTACACAGTTATACCTTTCCCAACTCATACAAAGAAACTTGTGTGTAAGGAGTACATTTGCTTTGGACTCATGCTCTACTCAAGCTGGCTGCTGCCATGTATTCCTTGAACAATTAAAGTGTTGCACAGAGCCGGCAGCCGCGGGGAGCCAAGATGTCTCGTGATTCTGGATATCCTTCAGACAGCTTGGGCAAGCTGCAGAGCTGTTTGTGCCACAGATGGCTGATCACTAGAAACTGACTTCCCTATTTTTCCCTGCCTGGCACAGTTAACGTGTCTCATCACTATAACCACTTGAGAGTGACGGGGTGTTTCATGTGTTTGTGTGTAAATTGTGTGTCTCTGCTTTGTTTAGAGGGGTGTGGGGATTGAATAGAGGTTGCAGCAGGTAATTGTGAGCATGTTTGCATGCTGCACGGATCGAGCTAGGTTGTTGGTGGCCACATGGGATTTTGTTGGGATGCTTGAAGATCAGTACTGATAGTAAAGTGCATTTAGATTTAAAATGTAGAAGCTGAGCTGCTTGAAAAGGAGAGCAGCTCATTGTAACTGATGAATCACATTGAAACCAGTGGCTGTTGAGTTTGTTTCAGAGAAAGGTCCATCTGTCTGATTTCTCTCATCTACAGTGGAATTTCACACAAAAAACAAGTCTACATATTTGCCAGTCTGGTACAGGAACGCTCTCTGTACTCTATTCCTTTTTCAGTCTCATCTATAATTCCCTAGAACTCACCATTGGGAGATAAGCTGAGGAAAAATCCCTGTGAAACTGTTAAAATATGATAACAATCCTTGAAATGATTAGTAGTGATAATAGTTATGCTTTAATGGACTACTGCGGAATGACACATGAAGTATCGAGCAAAACTGAAACACAAATTACCCCTGTCTCTTTCCTGCAGATTTATGAGGGCTTTCCTGAAGGCAAACTGGCTCTTTTGAGACTATGGTGGCTGCTCAGCTATTCTTTCTCATCAGCCTGCTCTTTGTCATCCAGCTGGAGCAGAGCCGAGGGAAGGACATCTCATTAGGTGATAATCTCCTGGGTGAGTAAATGAATGAGAGAAAGCAGAGTGAAAAGAATACTAATATTATTGGATTTCCCATGCTTATCTGGACCACAAAACTTCATCTGCTTTTAGTTTTAGCTAAACTGTCCTCCTGTGGCTTCAAAAAAGTCACAAAATTTGAAAAACAAAAAAGTGTTTTTTCTTACATCTATGTTCCTTTACGTTAAGGAATGACATTAAATTCATATTCATCAAGATTCTGCACAATGTGCAAGAAGCTTTCTTTTATTATTCTTGTTTTATATTATCTTTCAAAAATAAATGCACTGTACATATAATTCAACAGGTTTTGGAAGTGATTACTGCTCACTGTAAAAAGTAAACGATAATATAGTTGTATTATACTGGTCTTATCTAAATATTATTTATCTTGCTTCTACAGTTTTATGGTTGTTTAATATGTCTTTAAATGACTAAATCACAAGATTCAGAAAAGCAGTGTTAATGCCCTAAAATGTGGGGTTAGGCCTTCAGTTTCTGATCAGAAATCAGGAAAAGTGTACAGTATAAGCAGTACACAACTATAGATAAATGGGTAATGCTATTTCTAACGATTAAGTCAAATGGTGTGAACCAATGGCGCCCTCTAGTGGTACTGTATAAAACTAAACCTCTAAAACAGTTTCTTTGATCTATTTTTTCTACTTCTGAATAGACAACATTGATTTATTCTCACTTTCTCCTTCTAACAAGAAAAAGAGACTTTGATCTAACCTCACCTTAACATGTATTTGGGCAGTACGAAGAATATGTTTCACATAGTTTGTTCAGCTGGTTTATAAATTATAGAAGTATAACTTATATATAGTTATAGCATTTCTAGAGTAAGGTTAATTGTTTAGTTTTTACATAGAGTGTGACATATATCCTGCACAATTTAGCCAAAAATGGTCAGTTAGTAGGAAAAAATATCAATAAATGTAAAAACCTTGGCTGTGTAAGTCATAAAACTTTTTTTAGAAACATGTTTTGGCTTAATTTTGGGATCTAATAGAAGTCTGCCACCAACATACATGTTCTCTTGGCCAAATGTTCCACACAAAGTTGCTTAAATCTATCAGATTGTGAAGAAGTCAAATGTTAACAGACCTTTTCAGCTGGCGTTCCAGACCTGTTATATAGAGTTCTGCACTCTGGACAGGGCAATCCAAAAATCTAATTGTTATTATTTTTTTTAATATGGATACATGCTTACTAATTCTAATGCTGGAATATATTTGGTTTTCTTTATGTTCTGGCAAACACATGAGACATATGTTTATATTTCTCTTTTAGTATTTTAACCCAATGATCTACTTTGTTTTTTATGTTATTTTTCATTATGTAACACATACTGTATATCCACAAATGTTTTGAAAAATTCAAACAAGGTATGAATATTTTCTGTTCAGGCCTCTTTTTCTGTATTTTCAATGCTTAGTTTGGTAATATTGAGCTCATAGGAGGTTGTTGTCACATGTAAATCACTGCTCCCTTAAAAGGGAGTTTTTCCTCTCCACTGTTGCTACAAGCATGCTTAGTGTGAGGGATTGCATTCGAGTCAATGAGTCGATGCATTCAATTGGTTTTCCTTAGATAGAAAACTTTGAATCAATTTGACTGTAAAGTGCCTTGAACTGTAAATTCCCTCGAGATGAGATGTGTTGTGAATTGGCACTATATAAATAAACTGAAATGAATTGAAATTGAATTGCTAGCACTGTGCAGACAGTCCCACAGACCCTCCAGTGCTTTTTGGAAGTTTCTGTTTTGTCTGTTTTAAAATTCAGAGAAACATTCTCATTTTATAATGTCAATATTCTTTGAGATTGCATTATGTTTTATGTATGTATTTAGTGTGGGTGCCACATTCTGCTAGGAGAAAAATGAACTTTATTTCATGTTAAACTGACCATAATGGATAGACCAGATACAGAGGAAAACTAAATGCTAACATTAAAACAAAAAAAGGTGCTTTTACACAGAATCAGTTGAAGTGTGCATTCTAATAAAAAGAAAACACTGCCAAATGATTTTATTTTTTTTTTGCCTTTATAAAATTTTATTTTTATATTTAAGTTCAAAAAAATATATATAAAATAAATTTTTCAAGAAAGTAAGTTAATGTGTTTGAAGCTATTTTTGATACGAGGTGTTGGTAATGCTACAGGGAATCTGCTGCCATATAGATGTTCTTAAATCTATTTTCTTTTTCTCTCTTTATGCTGTAACAATATAAACAGATCCAGAAAAACATCAAGGAGGCAATGAGGTCATCACTTCATCTCCTGTACTGGAAACAGAACTGGATCAAGACAGCATAGGATACAAAGGTTTGGGCTTTCTTTTTTTAAGTGGAAAATCAAACCTACAGCCTTTTACGTTTTGTCAGGAGACATTTTTATTAGGCTTTTTGGATCCCTTGTTTAGACCCCATCCTTAACATTTTTACATGCAGACACATCAGGACCACACACATATCCTGGAAGATTTGCAATGACATGATACTGGTGCAAAAGTTTAGGACATCCGCCTTAGAGGAAATGAGCTTTGTGGCAGAGGTCTTCATCCTGATGAAAGATGCAAGCAGAATAAAATTATATAAATGTAGTATTGCTAAGGTTGGTTGAACATTCATAATGAGAATAAAAATGTTTTTTTTTTGTTGCTGGCCTTATGTACAGTAATCCATACAATTCTAATTGGATCCACAGACTTAGATATTTGCTTTCGAAGGACAAAGTGGTTGTGGAACTCATCTAGTGGTCTCTTTTTTTTTGCTTTTATATTTCATATGAATTTCTTTTTTGTCTAAGTGGAGTATGAAATATGCACTGAACAATGAAGCTGTCTCTACAAACCATTGTCTTTTGAAGGATAGCATTGAACCCAGTGAGAAGTCTTTGTTGTTTTTTGCTGAGACAAACTCTAATGCTACACAAATGCCAATTCAGCTTCTTGAAACCACGTGTGGAATGTCTGAAGCTGCACAATTCAATCGGTTTTCCTCTTGTTTTGACATTTATTGGTTAGGCTTTGACATGAGATGTACTGAGGTGGAACAAATGTGTTCTTGTCAGTCTAGCTCTAGTAAATTTCCTACTGTGCTGACCTCTGTATGGAGGACACATGTAATAAATATCTTTCATGTCTTTCCTGGACACTTCGATTGCTACTGCAACAGCCACAAATTCAGCTTCTAATGAATTCTGTATTAAAAATTTCACCTATAACAAAAAGCTTTTTAAGTACTGATACAACCACACTTCTTCAATTGCTGACATTTTGAAAACATACTTTAGTGTTTTTTCGTGAATATTTTTCAACCACCTTACCTGCAGTATATTTTTTCACATATTTGAGGGTATGGCTCAATCAGGTTCTGACTCACTGAGGTTTTTATTCATAATTTTTAAGATACAGCAGTTCCAGCTTCAGCAAACTGCCACAGATTGGAATCAGCCCTGTACTTTGACTAGGCCATTCAATCACATCAATATACCTCAACCTAAGCCATTCCGTTGTAGCTCTAGCTGTACATTTAGGGTCAACTTCCCATTGGAAAGTAAACTGCTCTAACTGGCTATCTTTCAGTACTCCAGTTCGCTTTGTTCATCTTTTCTTAAACTATTAGTTATAATTTCCCTACTGAAGAACAGAACTCCCACAGTATAGGATGCTGTCTCAACATGTTTCCTGCAGGCGATGGTTTGCCCGTGGTGGGATTCGTTGTTAGCTTTCTGACACACACAGGGTTATGAATAAAAGTCATAAAGTTAACTTTTGGTCTCAGCTTACCAGAGACTTTCTTTCACTTGTTTGTTGTCTTCTTTAAGTGGTTTGTGATTTAATACAAACAAGACTTCTACTTTTTTCAGCAACATCTTTCTTCTTACCACTTTTAAGATGTGTGGGATGCAAAACTAAGAGTTATCCAGTTGACAGATTCTCTTACAATAATTAAGAGTTTCTGCACATTTTCCTGAGTTAACAGGCTTCATAGCTGCTTTTTAATGGCCTGTTTTGGAGGATGACCAGCGCTTTCTAAAGAGTGCCTTTGCAGAGAGAAGTGCCATGCTCTTTTCCTTGTTGGATGATGGACTACTCCACAAGGCTTTGATGTGGTCTCCATGCTGCTTTTTGCACTATAATGTTCTCTGACAAACCTCTAGGGCCATAACAGAGCAACTCATTAAATACATTACTCTCAGGTGCACTCAGTTGTTTAATTTGGTGTACTCAGAAAGACTGGTAGAATGTGATTTTATTATTTCTGTTTCTTTGGAGCATCAGAGTTCTGGAGAATGGATAAAAAATTTTATTTTTTTATATTCCTAAAAAGATTTCCGCAATGGTTCCTTCTATCCCACAGAAATGCACAGTATGGGAACAAGATGACAGACGTATTATGCACTGTGTATACATGCCAGCTCTTTGTGACTGATATGACCATCAAGGTTTGCACTAGTGTGCCAACTCATAAAGAAAGTGAGAAAAAAAGCAGAAGGCATACAAATCAGTTTCTCATCCAATGCTTAAAGGAGAGGCTTTCAAGCATTGTGATCCAAATCTCCTGTTACCTATGCAAGGGAAGGAATCTACAAACCAAAAAGGACACAAATGAGACAAGTCCAAGGAAAAAAGTGTTGCGCGCAGATATTGATGAGAATCTGCATGTAAAACAGAATAGAATACATATGAAGCCACTACCGGTAATAGAAATGTGTAGACAGATCAAACAATCGTCTCATCCAGCATCCTGATGCCAGGTACAGAAGGAAGATTCCAGTAATGTCCTTTGTAAAACCCACCCTTATATCTCATGAGCAGAACAGTAAACAGTGACTAATAGATGATAGCTGAGGCCAAATTTGTTGCTGTGAGGAGCTTCCAAAAAAATCTATTTTCTTCCATAAACATTTTTTTTGGAGAGTTGGTTTTATTCTTCTTGGACAAATTTCTCTCCTGGCTCAAAATCAACTGGAAAGGTCCTCTGGAATGAAATAAATAAAGAAATAAATAAAAAATACTATAGCTCCCGGGGTTTGGCACACACTCTTAGCAATCTCTGCCATTTTGTTTGCTGTGTTGCCATGAGGACGTGAATGCCTTTGTGGCAATACTTTTTTCAACCATCTGTTCCTGGAAATCCTGATTTTTTTTTATTTAGTTTAATTTGAGAGTGAGGTATTTAAATTCACAAATTCACCTTACTTGTGAATGCTCCACCTGCTATTATGTTGAGTGAATGCAGTGCCTAAAGTACGAGCTCTGCATGTGGAATCATGTCCCTTTGTTCATGTTTATATCCTGTTGTGATGGAAAGAAGCTTATTTTTCTAAATGCTCTTGAAATGAGAATAATTATGTTGTTTTGGGGATGGAGGGGAGGAAGAAAGAAAACAAGACTTTATTGTCTTCCACAGCACAATGACTCAATGTCACTCATGAAACCCACTGAGCTGTCAGATTCACAGTGAGGATAACATTTACTCTGAAAATAAGCACGAACAAACAGAGTTGGGAAAATAGGCGTGAAAAAAGTCATAGAGATGCGAAAAAAAAGAATCAAAACGTGGGAAAACTGAGAAATACGACACAGCATTTCACATATTTATCTGCATTTTGTGTTAGATGAAGGGGGAAAACATAAAAAATAAAAGAAAAAAAAGGTAAAGGAGAGTTGAAGTAACTTTGGAGTGAAAAAAACAAAAAACAAAAAAAACAACATGTTTTTAAATGCAAACAGAGGCTCGTGCTGAGAAAGTAATGTCCCATTTTTCTCTAGCTGTTTAGTGAATGTGATGTCTTAGCTCTGAGCAGAGTTGAAAAGTGAGCACAATGGAAAGATTTCAGAGTGAATTTCAGCATAAGCTGAATAGATACACCTAAAATCCAGAGGTATCCTATCCACTTCTGTGATATGCACAGTGCCTTGCAGAAATATGAACTTAGGCATGCTATAAACACCAATTCAGGTAGTTTTTGGGATTGCAAATGATAGAGCAACACAAATGGATAAATAACTATAATAGGCTACAAAAAGTGTGGTACAAATTGTCTTCAGTTTGTTTTACTCTGCTACTCTTAGATAAAATCCAGTCCAACAAATGCCTTCCGAAGTCAATTTATCGTTAAAAAGAGTGCAGCTATATTTGATTTATCCCTTTATAGGGCAGTCTGTGAAATACTTAGGAAACCAACATCTCCAGCCAATAGTGTTGTTGGAATCCAGGACAAGATCTTATTACCTTTGTAACATTAAAAAAATATGGATATTTTGATGGCAAAAATTTATGTCAGTATAAAAACAAGAAATTGCAAGAATATATTAGGAAAAATAACAAAAGTGCTTCTATAAGAAATTCCTGGAAAAACACTCCAACATAACCTTAGAGGGATTAATGCTGATACTGGCACTAACATTTTTTAGTTTATAAATCTAAATATTATTGTTTACCAGGCTAATTAACTTTTTATCTTTTCAATTAGCTTTTTACCTTTTTTTCTTGACTAAACTTTTTTTTCCAACTGAATTTACAGTACACTGGAAAAAATCCTAAATTTAGATAAGTCATTTTGTTTTCTTTAAATAAGTGCATTTGTTCTTGAATTAAGGAAATAAAAGAGATTTGCCAATGGAACAACATCATTTAGATTTAAAAATAAGAAAAAAAACTATTTGATTGTCTTATTTCAAGAGCAAATTATCTAATTATCTTATTTTACCATGCATTTGTAAGAGATATAAAGGTGATCAAAAACAGTAACTTCCCCTATAAAGGGCTAATTTCAGTATAACTTTATACAATTCTGTGAAGGCCTCAGAAGCTTAATAGAGAACACAAGTGAACAAACAGCATCATAAAGGTCAAGAAACACAGCAGAAACAGTTTGGCAAAACTTGTGGAGACGTTTATATCAGGAAAAGGTTTAACATGATGCCAAGAGCTCACTGAGCTGTCTTCAATCCATCAACTGAAAATGGAAACGAATCAAGCTTGTTGGGGGGGTGGAAGGGGATTTTAATTAGGGTAGCAGCCAAGAGGTGTCCATGGCAACTCTATCCACATTTAGGTGGGATAAAATTAGCCAATAGCCATTTAGCACTTGGCCAATAATTGGGATGGGAGTTGGGATGAATGTTATGGGTCTGAGTTATTGGAAACAACATGCAGCAACTGCAAAACTCAGGCAGATCAAGTCAGACAATGACACTTACTGTACAAACAGAGCCACAATATAAAAGGTTATGCCGAGACCCGAAATGCAACACAAAATCTGTGAAAAGACAAAACAATAAAAATTCTGCTCTATCGTATGTGATAGA